TCACTCGCAGATGGACAGATGAGTCGAGATATATTTGTGACGAACTATACATACAGAAATATATTTTTACTAAGAAAAGCGATTACTCAGTATACTTTTCTCCTTTTAAGTAAGTTATTTTTTTCTAATATTCGATTAAGGAAAAATTTATTTTTTTCACAAAAATATTATAAAATTTCATAGACGAGAAAATTAATTGGATTCTACATAGACTCTGTGTGGTAAGTAAGTCGAAATTTTATTTTAATTTGATCTTTTTAATTGAAATATTAAACTTGCTAAGATTCATGTATTTAATGTATTCATGTAAGATTAATATATTTTGAATAAATTTGATGCTTATGATGAGCTTATACGGATATGTAAATTTCTGAGATACTTGAAAGAAGTAACATTTACTTGCATAAAATATGTATTTTTCTGTGTGTAACGCATGTGTGTAGCGTATATTTTTCTGTTAATTACAGAGATATATAATGGATACAAAACATATATATGCATAATAATGGATATACAGAGTATCAAACAATTCTACAGCTACGGAGCCGCGGTGTATAGATGTAGATTAGGTTAAACTGAACAAAAATTTCTTCTATCATTTTGCGAATAACTGCGTAAAATTTTGAGTTATTAAATAAAAAAATTGTTGATGTGCGCTATACGGTGCAATCTTTCACTAATCTTCTTTAATTAATAACTCAAAAATCTACGTAATATTTGTGAAATGGCGGAGGACTTTTTTTAGTTTTTGTTTAATTTGATCTAATTTTTCTATATAGCACAATTAGTTACTTAAAAGAATTAATTTAACAATATCGAATATTTTCACGATAAATACATATATATATATATATATATATATATATATATATATATATATAAAAATCGACGTTTAAGAAATAAAGGAGAAGGGAAGGCCATCAAATGCGTTAAGCTCGGAATGTTCCAATTACATAACGCGACGTATAACTCAAGAGTAAAAGTCGCGAATCATGTCGCTCTTTATTTCGATCACAAAGCCGCACACCATCGTGCAAAGTCGTATTCTCCAGCATTCGCCGCGCGTTACATACAAACGCGTTCCGAATAAGATCTAAGGTTGCCAATGCGACACCCGACACCCTTGAACCCGTGTAACACTTGGAAGGTGTCCGCGGGTCCTCCGTCAGAGTCAGTATTACGAGATAGTGAACATCTAAAGCGAAGTGGGTCTTCGCGCCGCCAGAGAGAGAGAGAGAGAGAGAGAAAGAGAGAGAGAGAGAGAGAGAGAGAGAGAGAGTGAGTGCAGCAGGAGGGGAAGGAGGGGAAGGAGAAGCGGCTATTCGAACAAGTTAGACTCGATACACACAGGTGGATCATCGGAGCCGTCATTCGAGGCCTCCTCCAATTCGAGCGATGAGGTGGAGAATACGTATAATCCTCGCTGTGAATGAAAAGGTCCGCGATTTTTGGTCCTTTTCTTCTCGCAACAAGCACACTATCTTCACGGTCTTTTAGCCGCGGAAGACAATGTTGGTATGACAAGGATGAAAAAGAGTAATTTGAGAGAATACCATTCGCGATTATATATTATTGTGTCTGTTAAAAAGACGTACAGGATGGGATATCTGGATACCTAAGAATGCTGTTGAGTCAATAGAATTGGTGATCAACAAGGTACCGTAGTTGGACTAATCTTTTTGATTCAATAGCGATATTAATGAAGCTGATACATCATACATTTTTTCATAATATTCAAGTTATTAGGTATTAGCTCCGTTAGGTATTAGCTGACGTTGCTCTGTGCAAAAAAAAAAAATCAAAAAAATTTATCCCGACTACATCAAATTCTACTAGTTCTATAGATTCAACAGCACTTTTTCCGTGTACACACACACACACACACATTTTCTGATAAAGACGAGTAATTGAATAATATAATTGTATATCTATTTAAAATGTATCACCTAATTAATTTATTCGTACGTACTTACCATACTGTTAAGCAATCAACAGTCAGCAGCTGTTGGGTACACAAAATTTGTGCCAAATTTATGGAGTAATTTTTTTTTTAACGTGATGCAGACGATTTCGACAATTTACGTGGAACTACCAATCTCGTGCGTTATCCGAAAAGTTGAATATTTTATTCATGAAGGACTTTAATCAATCGATCAATTTCGCCGCGGCTTGAGAAGCACGCGTGGGACGGCTCGGACGGGGTTGCTTGTTAAATTTAGAAATTTCGCACGACAGTATTAGAGAGTCAGGACGATTTTTGTTGCTTATTTTGCGGTTATAAGTCTCGCCTTTCGCTGTTTTCTGACCTGCGTCAGGCTTTGATTTTCTTCTGCCACAACCCGAAAGTTCTCCGCCGCTTCTCCGCCTTACTGCTTGTTATGGTCACACACGAGGGTCGATTTGGACAGATACACGCGTTCTATTTAACAACTTCGCGATGCTTTATGAGCTTAGCCATTATCGCGGAACAGAATTTCGGGAGCAACCGAGTCAGCAGCGTTATCAGCGCTCGTTACGACTGTACTGTCCGATCGACAGTTCGCCATGTCGCGAGAGCGGTATTAACAAACTATAAAAAGGGAATGTTATAAATTATTTCCGTGAGAATTTATCGCGTATAAACTTACCGCGTAAGAGAAGGGAGACACTAATTCGATATTGGCGTATATTAAAATACTTAACGCAATAACGTCCGCGAGGGCCGAATATTTGGCGCAACGCCCGGCATTTTTGCTCGTAAAGATATTTTTTATTTGACGCCGAATCGACTAGTGGGTCCAGCAGCGTAGGGCCGTGCATTCGATGGAAATTTATGCGAGGGCCCCGCCCTCGCAGAGAGGCCGTGAGAAAGAGATAGAAAGAGAGAAAGAGGCAGAGAGAGAGAGAGAGAGCTCAGTCGACGTATACGGGCGCCAGCTCGCAGGCCCTATCTGAACCCTTTACGAGCGTCCAATTGCCTCCCTTTCGTCCAAGTCGACAACGCTATACAAAAATCGCAGGTTGCCGGGCGCTCAAGAACCAACCAGCGCTATAGAGAGCGGTGCGATCTCGCAGGACGACTCGTGCAGCCCGAAACCAATCAAGCATGCGAAACGAGGTCCCTCTCGTCGCTAAAATCCGAACATCCTCGCCGCGAACGAGGGTTGAGAGGGCTTAATTAAGCGGCGAGAGGACGAAAACGAAAAATCAAACGTGCAAATAAGGTAATCTAGTAGTGCAGGATGAAATAATATCAGCTTGTCGTAAGAAGAGAGAAGGGAGGAATTGGCTTCTGCGATCAGCAACGATCGATATCTGCTGCGGAAACGACATTTCACTAACATCGGTTGACAGGTGCCGATATCGCCTACTGACCCTTGGCCCTGCGCGAAACCAGAGAAGTCCTCTTTCTCATCCTCTGTCTGTCTCTCTCTTTCTCTCTCTCTCTCTTTCTGTCTCTCTCTTTCTCTACACTATCCCTTCGACGTAGTTCGATAAGCAACGCCGTTTTTGGAAGGCGGCCGTTTGTGTACGAAACGGCCATCGTTGCACGCCTTCTCGCCGCGGCGCGGTTCGGCGCGGCGTCCCGTGGGCCCCAAGCCCGGGCGGGCCCGCAAAAATGATTGCCAAAAAAGGCCCAACTTCATGAAGTCGGACCGTCACTCATCGCGGCGAATTGGCTTCCACAACGCAACAATGTAACGCGATGTGTGCATAACGATGCACCGCTCGCACACACAAATACATTTCACAGCTCACACAAACGTACGCGGCCCGAACGAGGCGAGCACGTGGTGCGCCCACACGGGCGCGCGTACACGCACGTATGTATGTATGTTGTGTATGTGTGTGTGCGTGTGTATATACGCGACGACCATGGAGCACACCACCCCGCGCTCGCGCGATCGGGCCCGCACGGGAGTAAAGGTTTTACCGATGGCGTACGCCCATACGCACGTAGCATGTAGGCAGAGGTTCCCACACCGCAGGCCATGATTTATTGGCCTGCCACTCGCCAGACCTGCTGTCATCATCGTCCCATGGTTGGTCCATGATACAGCACGCCGTGCCGTATATAACTTCCCTCTATGCACGATCTTCGCGTCATATCGGCTCCTTCTTTCCTCGCGCCCCGTTGATACAGGAAGGCCGTTCGCCGCGCCGCACCGCGCCGCGCCCCTCTGCTCCGGTCCCCTTCCTCCCTCCCCCCGTCCCTCCCTCTAGACCGTCCACCTTGTTTTACCTTAACCAGCCGATACCCACCGTCGTACGAAGCCGACAATCACCTTCTTTCTCATCGAGAAGACGTTGCACGGCGTGGGCGGGAGGTGCGAATTTCGCAAACTCGATCTGAATATCGTTAGCGGGCGCTGGGTACCCCGGAGTCGTCCCCTTGGGCCTGGCGATCTCTCACCCTCCGGTGATCGTGACGCGTCTATGCGAGGTAAGAGAAAAATGACGGGCCGAAATGAGGTGATTAAGGAGGATGCGTTTATTTCAGGAGTGAGGTCGTTGCATCCTGAGACGAGCGCGCCTTCTGCTCCTGCAACGTCGTCAGCGCTTTCAGCAACACCGAGCACGTTTCCGACGACGTTAAGAGGGTTAAAAGAGAGCAAACGCGAAGAATACCACGGGGACCAAGTAAAACTCCACGGCCAGATAGTTGAATTTCCGCGCGAGGGACACGCGCTTATCAAATTCGCGCTCGCATACGGGTATTCACGAGTACGCGCACGGCGAAAGGGTAACCTGTCCCACCGCGCACGGGGTCAGGTGGGACAGGAAGGTGAGGAGGCGAGGTGGGCGAGAAGAGGGAAGATGACGAGGGCGCGGGCGGGGCGAAGGGAGAGGGAGGGTTTTCTCCAGAACACGGGGGGCGAACGCGAAGTCGTCCGATTAGGAAGCGAGAGGGGTTACACTTTGTTTCGTCGGCCGCTGGCGTGGTTTCCCAAGCGGCGGCGGTGACGGCGGCGGCGGCGGCGGCGGCTACGGCGGCGGTGGCGGTGGCGGCAGTTCGCTCGCTCGTTCGGCACACAGTCGAACTCCTTCGCCACTGGACGACGGACGTCGTCGTCGTCGCTGTCAACGTCCTCGTCGTCATCAGCATCCACGATACCATCATGTCGTACATCATGATCGGCATCCTGATGATTCTCACGTCGATCGCGCGTGGCTGCTCCGGCTGCCCGTTCTGCGCCAGGCAACTGTTGCAGCAGCTGCAGCAGCAACAGCAGCAATCACAGCAGCAGCAGCAGCAGCAGGAGCGGCAAGAGCAGCAGCAGGAACCGTACCGGACGATCGGCAGCCTGAGACCGTTCGGCGCCGACAAGCCGACCCGTGTCCAGGAGTTCAACCGAACCGGCGTGCTGCACCCCGAATATCAGATACCGGCGACCATCAGGCCTGGCAACGTGTCTCAGTGAGTATTTAGCAGATCGTTATTCGGTTGCTGCGAGAGAAGTTTCTGATATACTCGCGATGTCTCTGCGACGATTTCAAATTAAGAGCGATGGTGGCGAGAGAGAAGTACTGAGAGAAAGAGAGAGAGAGAGAGAGAGAGAGAGAGAGAGAAAGTGTGTATGTGTGAGAGAGTCGGATACCGCCCTACGTTTCATTGGCGGCGGTGTTCGTGCTTCTCGTTCACCGCGTTTAATTATCCGAGAAGACTGCTGGCACGTTTAGCCCGGATAATTAAGACATCGCGTGTCGCAGTTGTGATCGCATAATACATCCAATCGATCATTGATTTGCGTTGTTATCAATGGAGACTTAATGGACGCCTCGGGTTTTCTGAACGTCCGACGTTTTGACGTTGGGCGAAGTCGTGATACTCGGGAGAATTTAATTTATCCCGAGTGTAGGAGGTGTAAATATAATTCAGCGCCGAATCATGATCGATATGATCTGCATTTTGTTATAAGCGATCAGTTCCTTTGCTTTTCTAACAGATTGTCTCGCTTTTTAATTCAAGATTCGTCGCATTGCTGTTTTTTATTGTCATCTAAAGCGTCGCTTGGACCGCATGATTCAACGTCAAATAAAACAGACATTCGAGTGTTTGATTTAACAATCTTCATTTTAATAATATTTAACTTTTATTTTATTTTATATATAAGCTACCTGGAATTTGTTAATTCACTCTCCGTCGTCATCTCGACGAGAGATCGTTCGTAAAAGTGGATTGAGCACTGTAATATCGCGGTTTCGTTGATTTCAAATTCGATATCGGACATCGTTATAACAACTACCGTCGGGCAACGGCCGCAGATTTGTAAAAGAGATCTATCATTAATTGCATTTCGCTTCCGATATAAGCACCACGCGGCAAAATTAGCACGCGCAATTATAGCCGAGCGAGCTGCGCGCTTGCGTATGCCTTTAGGCGGCGCGAAATATTTAAGCAACTATTTTTGAGTGTGTAAATTGTTTGCTCGATACGCACAACGGGGGAACCGCGAACGTTTACAGCAACGTCACGCACCCCGTGCCGCGTATCGTCAACCACAGCGAACGCTCGTACACGTAATCCGATGCACATTTTGCGTACTCGTGCGATTCGATACATTCGACCCATATTGCGCGACGTATGAAGGGCTACATAATCATTGTTTTTGCTCCTTCATGCTACGGTGGATATCGGAGAGATGCAACGATGCGCGTTGTGCGGTCAAGGCAGATGTGATTCGTCGCGACGACACATGTCGCAAAAGTTGCAAAAGTCGCTGCCCACTGCTATTCTGATCGTTTTGACAGAACATTTTCCTATCAAAGAATTTCCACCGTTCCATCGTTCTAACGGGAAGAAGAGTTTCCTATTGAAAAATTTTCTCTGCTATTTCTATCGCCTTGACAAAGGATTTTCCTATAAAATAATTTCCATCGATATTTTCATCGTATTCCTATCATAAAATTTCCCCCGCTACTTCCATCGAATTGATAGGAAATTATCTGATTAAAAAATGTTCTCTCTGCTATATTTACATTATTTGGCAGGAATTTTTCTGTTAAAACATTTACCTTTGTTATCCCCAACGTTTTGACAGAAAATTTTTTTATTAAAAATTATTTTCTATCATCTTAATCATTTCCATAATCTTAATAAAAAATTTTCCTATTATATAAAAAGTTTCCCCTAGTTCCCATTATCTTGACGGAAAATTTTTCTATTGAAAAATTTCCACAGTCATTTCCATCGAGTTGGCGAAAAATTTTTTTACTAAAGCTTTTTTTACTAAAACATTTTTTACTAAATTTTTTTACTAAAGCTTTTTTTACTAAATTTTTTTACTAAAGCTTCGTTACTATTCTCGTTTATTATTTCGCGGATAGTTGCCAATGTCGAACAATGAAGTCTCATGATGAAGTTCGACGATTAGTTAATGAATTTACATAAAAGTAAAACGCGGCTTTTAACTTTGAATTTCTACACCTCAGATGATTATTTGAAATTTGTCAAAGATAAGAGAAAGTACAGGCTACGCTGAGTGTTTCGCGCGCGATAGAAGAGGACTGCCCTCGTTTTCTCTTGCACCCTTACAATGTGCACGCGGCGTCTAATGGTCCGATCCGTCGCGACGCTACGCGTCATAAAGTCCTCTTATCAGATGGTTTCCACGAATTTTCTGCAGAGGTTGAAATGCAGAATAACACGCGACTTGCATTCTTCACTTTTATAACGACCAGGTATTTATATCCCTAATCGGCATCACATCAATGTGTGTGTGTCGATGGAAACTCCGGCAAAACTTTCACCTAAATCGGAACAACAACGGAACGCAAGTTCAAAGGGTGCAATGTATGTGTGTGTGTGTATGCTGTGAGAGAGGGAGAGAGAGAAAGAAAAATTCTTGAATTAATAGTTATGATATTTACACGCACGAGAGAGAGAAGAGGTACTTCACCTCGGCGACAACGTGAGCCACGTCCGTTGAACTTCACCGAGTCATCATTAATAGACGCTTTTTTCGCGATCCTCGTGCTTCGGATAGCTACAAGCGCGAATGCTCTATTCAGAAGCTGCGACAGCGCCTCTGCAGTCACAGGGATACCACGTGCCATGAATTCTGACATGCCGCGAAATCTGCTGTCATCAATAGCTATTGTTGAACAACGTGTTTTGCATGAGACGTGGCTGCTGAGAAGTGTCAAGCTGCGGAGCACCGACCTTTGCTCCGTTTTGTCCGTCATCAATTCTATGTAACTGGGAGATCCACCCACCACGTTTGCGCGACTCCAGCGTGCTTCCGACTCCGTTCTCGCGCCTCCGCATCGACGTCGCCACCTTCCTGTGGTCTTCACCTGTCCAGCCGAACCTTCCTCCGCAGGTTCGGTCGCCCTCGCGTGGTGGCGGATCGCGCGTCAGCAGGACGCGGACGGCGGTGGCGGTGGCGCGTCGCGACGCCACGCGCCGTAAAACGCCCTACCTATCTCGGTCGCGACTTTCCACGAAACTCCGCGGCAGACCCGCGCGACGAGAGAGACGGACAGAGGGAGAGACGGGGGCGAGCGAGTAGGCCGACTAACAGGATCAAATTCGGGACTCCCTCCGCTGCTCTCTTTCTCTCTTGCGCTCAGGACGACTCCGCGACGCCGGATTTAGACCACGGGGGTCGTGGCTGCGCGACTCCAGACGCCGCGACGCCGGCATTGTGTCCCGACGCTAATTTTACAATAGCTGTCTCACCGCCAGACGCGAACGAGAAGAGCACGTGCGTCGACGGTGGCGGCGGCGGCGGAGGTGACGACGACGACGACGGCGTCTCGACGTTCTTCGCGAACGACGACGACGACGACGACGACGACGACGACGAAGTCAGCGACGCTCGGAAGCTAGCGGGTTAAACCGCGTGCGTCGTCGACATCGACGGAAAAGAAAAGAAAAAATCGCGAGACGGCGTGAAGAAGAGCGCGAGGGAAAGCGGAGGCGGTGGAGGAAGAGCGGCATCGTTGGCATCACATACGGCTTAAGCGGTGTAGTTTTTAGTGAGAAAGAGAGAGAGAGAGAAAGGAAAGAAGACGGCGATGGGCGAAAAAAAGAAAAGATTATATTACGTCGATCAAACGCTTCTTTTTATTGCACGTAATTAGTTTTTTACTTATTTATTTAACGTCAAGATCCCTTCTTACACATGAAAGAAATCTGTATAAATCATGAGAGAAAATACGTTAATATATGACACAACTGAGGTCGAAAATACACAAATGAGGCAAGATACTGGTGAAGCTAACATAAATACAGCAAAGCTTACAGTTGTAAACAAATTCTGAAGACTTAAAATAGAGATATATAAAAAGTGTGAATATATACGAAGGAAGTAAAGAAGCAGCATGACTAATCTACTAATATGAAATATATAAATATATGAGCATCAGGTGCGCATCGCGCATGCGAGCACTATATAAATATATGTGTATATATAGCGGTGTTAATTCCCCGGATATCCGGGTATTTTCAAATTGCTCGTATTTAGATACCCGAGTATCCGGTTATTTATTTTCATTGTTGTTTCTTCTTATTTATTCTTCCGGTCATTCTATGCAGAGAATTATTAAGGTGAGATCGACGAGAATTATAGTTATACATTTATTTCATAATATATAATAGTTTTCATATCAGAATACGTCAAAGTAAATAATAAATTATCCAGCAAAAACTGTTCGTTGATCTTACTTAGAGGCTTTTATATATAGATTGAAAATATATTTAAGTAAAAAAGAAACATATAAGTCCGTTCATAAATATTTTTACCCGATCACTCCGTGAGTTTGTTGGTACCCGTAGACATTATCATATACACTGAGAAAAGAAAAATAGTTGAGTTAATGAGACTTTGCTTGGACGAGCAATTTAGTCGACTGATCCAACGAATTATACAGTCGCTGCGATGAGTCACATTAATCGATCGAGTAATTGCGATTTGGCCAGTAATGCAACTTATTGTCGCACTAACGCGTAATTTATCCGATACATACAATATTTCTTCGAAGGCGGATGACCGCTGACTTTGTCGACTTAACTCTGTTCCTTTTTTCTCACCGTAGAAATACCCGATTTACCTAGACAGCAGTAGATCTAACGGCACGGTGAATTCGGTGAGCGAATGTATGTGCAGGTGTGCGGACGCGTGTGCATGTGTTTGTTGCGTGACTTGAGAATCGCCGTGACTACCGGGTAATTATGTCGATTACGATATGCAATATCCGCCGCGCGATGCGGCGCGGCGTTCCCCATCGGATTAACGCTACTGATCGACGGCGATTATGATAACGAGAGGCCTGCGAGCTATGCGCGGTTAAAGTCGATAAGTCGGCGGCGATTTTTGCGACAGCGCGCTTTGCATCGTGAGGAATGCCTAGCGTCGGATATAGAGCGGAATCGCGTTAGAAATCGCGCATCATTAGAAATACCAGCATCAGAATCGTGTATATATATATATATATATATATATATATATATATATATATATATATATATATATATATATATATATAGATATACAGGGTGAGCCATTTTAATCGACGGATCCAAATTGCTCCTAAAATACGCCAGCTACAAAAAAATGATTAAGACAAGAATTGTAAAGGACATTGGGGGTCATTTTACTGTGCTAATAATTTTGACTTTCAGATCGATTTTCAAAGTCATTCGAAGATCAAAGTCATTTTTTTAAATTAGAACCCCTATTTTTGGCACCGGATTCGAAAAGAGCAGAAAATTTTACGTTAAAAATGATATTTAGATTTTTTTTCTGAGTCCAAGAAGGTCAAATTTCCCTTTCAATCTGGCGAGTACTAATATGAGGATCATAATGAACAATTGCTAGAACAGTAACAGCCCGCGCATCATTTTTGTCATGACATCGTCGTTGCCGAATAAGATGTCCATTGCGAGCTCTTTGAGTTAATCTTCGTATTGTCGTGTTGTTTGGATGTTTCCTCTCTGGATAGCGTTCAGCATAAAGCCTTGATGCAGCATCGTAATTATTATGACATTCCCCTAAAATTTTTATCATATCAATTTCATTAGGAGGATAGTCAGCCATATTTAAAAAAAATTTTTCAAGTTACTCTGCACTCAAAAAAGAAAAATTGTTAAAGGCAATACTTTAAAAGTGTTTGTTTTTACTTTTAAAATTTTATTTATTACGCCTTATTAATAATCATATCAAAGTGAGATTATTGCGCATCAATTTCGGAAATGGAATGACGTTTCGTAACTTTTCTTCTATTAGTATTTGTTAGTACCGCGAAACACTTATCATGCATAAAAATCTTTAAAATTAACATTAACAGCTTCTAAGTTGTTTTTAATCATTTTTTATTTGACCTTCTTGGACTCAGA